TAATTGGCCTTTCCACCGAAATAGTTCTGCTTCGTTTGAATTGGCTCAAACCGCCTATTTTGTCACATAGGATCAAAATCCCGATTTTGGTACGATTTTACGATTTTAACTATTTTAATCCTGATTTTGAACGATTTTAAGGTCCACCAATTTTATTGTAAAATCTGGATCGGAATCCCTGAGTAAAATCCTAAAATCCTACTATTTTACAGTAAAAATTCCGATTTTGACTGCATTGCATGTTAGCATATTTGTCACAAGCAAGTGTCACTTTAGGTTTATGTGGCTTGTTGGATACCACATTAGAGTTCCCCTTGTGATTTGGAGTTGTGTCCAAGATCAATTTGAAGCATGTTAACTCGATCTTGGAGAAGTCTATGTTGACACCGAGCATATTTAGGAGTGGATCAGTGTCCACCAACATGACATCCTTCTTTTCCTCAAAGAATTTGATGCGCCCAATTTTAATGGCATCTTGTAAGACGTTATGAAAATCCACACAAGCATTAGTTGCATGCGATATGCTGTTATGCCACTTACAATATTCCTTCCCTTTTAACTTCTTCGATGGGGTAAGGACATGCCCCCCTGTCAACTTGATTTGACCATCCTTGTAAAGTTTATCAAAAATCAAGTCTGCCTTCGAGACATCAAAGGAGTACTTCCTCGGCTAAATGGGTTCACGATTGGGTCTTCCCCCTTGCGGCCCATCTTCAACTTTAGTCAAGGAAGCACATACGTATGGCTTCCCTGGAATTATCTCAACCAAGTCTACCTCAACCTCAGTGGCCTCGTGGCCAACATGATTGATGGTATAGTCTAAGTTTGGAAAGTATGATCCCCGTGAGGCACTCCTCTGATTCTCTCCCTCGTGTAGAAGAGACTCGTACCTCACAACACAAGACATGAGTTGAAACAGGTCAAAGAAATCCCTATCTTGGAATTTCTTCCTTAGCTCTAAACTCAAACCCTCTTGTGCCAGCTTGACGAACTCCCTCTCCGTCAAATTGACAAGTAACTGTTACGAGCATTCTTGAAGTTAGTCAAGAAATGCTCCACCGATTCCCCTGGCTGTTGGCGCATACGTGCCAAGTCAGCCATGGACACCTCGTTCTCAGATCTATAAAACTGAGCGTGGAAAACTTGCTCCATTTGTTGCCAAATCTGGATGGAGTTAAACGACAAGTTAACATACCAAGCAAAAGTTGGCCTTGTCAACGAGTTGCCGAATAGTCTTAACTTTACGAACTCTCCTACATCGCCACCTTGGACAGTGAAACGTCCAACCTGCTCTACAGTAGACTGATCTCCAGTCCCTGTGAACGTGGCAAACTCAGGGACCCTGAATCCTTTTCAAAATGGGTGGAGCCTGTCTACCCATTCTGGGTACGGCTGACGGTATACAGGTGGCATGACAGGTCTTACTCCCAAGCCAAACTGCTCTGTGAGGAGTTGAGCCACTTGATCCCTCAGAGTTTTGGCGTCATGCCCCCTTGTTACCCCTCATACGATACAAACCCTATGGGGTCCATGCCATGCCCATTGAAATGGGGTGGCGTTGAAGTTGGGTTGCCTCGTGGTGGGATCTGATCCATGTTGTCACCTAGACCTCCTCCTACTTGTATGGGTGGCTGCTCAACTCGAGTGTTGAACATGGTGGCGAGGTTCTCAGTTCTCACCACGCGGGGGTACCACTTCAACTCCCACACGTCCATGTGATGACTCCCCCACGTGAGCAGTAGCGGGAATCTCGACATCATCTACTCGACGTGGAGGTGGTTGGCTTGTTGTCTGAGGTGGCAATCTCTCTTGCCGTGGTTGGCCATTCCGACCACCGACGGGAGAAAGAACACTATTAGTAGGCGTTATACCTGTGTCATCTAATGGCAAAGCTCTTGACTGCACTACTGGTCTACTTAAAGACTGTCGGAGTTGATCCACCTCATTTGTATTTTTGTTAACTACTTCAAGCAATTGACTCAAACGTCTATCTAAGCGAGAATTAAGATAGTCTATCTGAGAATTTACCTGATGAGTACCAGCCCGAGTCTCCTCCAGCATGCGACGGTTCTCCATCAGCATTTGACGGTTCTCCTCCGTGGCTTGGCGGTTCTCCTCCATCATCTGACGAAGGGCCCCCATGGCTTCACCAAGATCTCCACTAGGCACAGTCGCCACCGAGATCTCTGCTCCACCGTTTCTTTCGGTCACCGCGTTGGACGCTTGGCCATGCTCGGATGTTGGCCATCTGCTCCTCCACGAATCCAGTCGGAATGTCACCTTTCTGATCAATCAGCCTCAGAGCCATCAAATCGACCACAAGGGTCCCACCAGGTGTGCTAAATTTGTTTTCTTGTGAGAAAACTTGCGTTGAAACAAATTGAATGCACCTTGACTTCTTTGGACAACGATCACTAAACACGATTCACACCTCTTCAAACACAGTTCGAACGAGGGTGTTCGATGTTTATACGACTCTCGAGACAGATCTACATTAAATTACTCCTACACCTATGGAGATTTTGAGAGAGCTTCAGATCTACGACTACTGATAAAAATTGCAGAGGAAAGATAAAATTGATAAAACTTGACAGGTGGTGTCGAGTGGTCATTTTTGCGGGCTTTTCTCTGTCATTCTATCCTCCTATTTATAGCCGTGAGTGGGTAACTGTCGTAGAAAAACTGTCTCAGATAACTCCCAAAAAGAACTGATCCCTGCTTCCTCAGAACGTGGCTGACGTGTCCTTTGAACGTGGGATGATTAGAGGTTATCTCTCAACTACCTAGGTGCCTCTCTTGAAACCGTCATGGGATTTGGAGTGCAGCTCGCTTCATAGCTCACGGTCATGTACTTCTTTACTCATGTCCATTGCCCTCTTGGGACTTTAGTCACTAGTGATATAATACTCCACCACCATGTCATTCTCCTTCGTGTCCATGGCTCCTCTCGAGAGGCAGCATGGCCTTCTCAAAATATAATATGACATTGCCTCTTCGATCGCACTCATGGACCTCTCAATCATGGACATGACCTCCCTCGTGAAGCAGCAAGTCCTTCCCATACTTAGAATATTCGAACTTGGTCATGAGGCATCATGGCCTCCTCATTCGCGGCCATGGACTTCTAAGTCATGTTCGTGGTCCTTCATGTGACGCGGCATGACCCTCTTGATCTCTAGAGGGACGTGGCCCTCCTCGTTGAAGCGGCACATCCTTCTCCATACTTAGAATATTTTCGGTTGTTTGGTTTAGATCATGAGGCGGCATGACCTCTTCATTCACGGCCATGGACTTCTCATTCATGTCTGTGGCCCTTTCCGTGGGACGCCATGCTCCTCGATTTCTAGACAGACATGGCCCTCTTCGTTGAGGCGGCATGTGCCTCTAGATTTTAAAGGGACATGGCCCTCTTCGTTGTGGCAAGAGGCGACATGTCCCTCTCCAGACTTGGTGGCTTGGACTTAAAATCAATATCCATAAGGCTCAACTTACAAAACGTTAATTCTTATAATGTGTGTGACCTTATAAATTCATTAATTATCTTGTAACTCACCAATATGGTACAAGATAAAATTTATGGCGTAAACACTAACTAACTCAAAACACTAGATTTTGGGAGATTCTAAAGTGATAATAAATACATCAGTCAGATTGAGACCAATGTCAAATGATTGAGAAGTGGAGTGCTGTCCAGAGTGAGTGCAGATCAGATCAGTATAAGTTCCCCCAAAACTTGGATTGGGTTTGTGCGCACATAAGCCAATTCAACGCACAACATGCATCAACCTTTTCCATTTCTTTGTCCAGCTTGGCATTTGCAACAAGGATGTGCTGGACCCCATATCCCTCTCCTTAGCTGGTGATTCTTTTTTTTACTGTTTCTTTTTTACTGGAATAGCTGGTAAATGGTGATTCTTGATTGACTAATGACTCGTTTGAATAACTAGAGTGTAAATTTTTATATTGTAAATAATTCAAAAATTTTAATTATCCTGGATTTGCATTGTTTGGTAGTTACTGTTATTCAATACAATAGAAATTTTATTTTTTTAATCAAAATACAAGTTTACCCTTAATTAGAATAATTAGAGTAATTCGAAAAATATTGAGAATTTTTTGGTAAGGATGATTGGTGGGATAGATACAAAAAATCAGAGATAAACTAGGAGAAGAAAATTTCATAAATCAAGATATATACATATTCTATATAATTATAAGAGATTTTATGATAAAAAAGCAAAATTTTCTATATAATCTGTAGATTCAATGAATATACGGTCCAAATCCTTTTCTCCAAATGAGCCATACATTATTACATATAACCTCTCAAACTGAAATTCATGATAAAAAGCAAATTTTTCGTAACTTTCTTGATATACATGCATGTTTGAGTCTCCAAGAACCTCTAGCATTTCTGATAAGCTCATATTGTTTGAACATATAACCTTATCAGTGTTCATCTACGAATTTCTGCTAAATATTTTATGGTAACGATTCAGTCAAAGAAAACATAACGTATCACGAGCTCATAACTTACCAACTCGAACTATATCACTTTTTTTAGGAAAACAATTAACAATTTTTCGTCCAGCTTTGTTGTATTTATAAATACCAAGCCCATGAACACTGATTCTCCGCGAAGGTGACTCATTTTAAAATAATTCCATCTTTCCCATTTGTCTCAGTCTTCCTGTCACATTCCATCCCCCCCCTGTTTCTTCGTCGTGGATTCTTCACTTTTCCCCCAAGCTTCTCTTTGTACAGACACTCACATCAATTCCCGGCCAATAGCTCTTGTCCACTCTCCCTCACCACACTATCCCTTCATTAGATCAAGCCTCAAGGTATATGTATGTGCATGCATTTAGTCCAGGACTAAAGTAACAAACAAATTCGAGTTAGGCTCTCAACTGAAATCAGTTTTTTGTCTATAGCTGCAGCGGATTAGAACGACGATGAATAGTACGAGGTTGTCGACTTTCCGGCAGAAGTCGTTCACGATGGAGTCACTGCCACGGCCGACGTCGTCAACGTTCCGCGGGAAGAAAGAAAAGGTGGTGTTCGTGGTGGGTCCCACGGGGACAGGCAAGTCCAGGCTGGCGATCGACCTAGCAACCCGCTTCCCGGCCGAGGTTGTCAACTGCGACAAAATGCAAGTCTACCAGGGGCTCGACGTCGCCTCCAACAAGGTCACCGACGCCGAGCGCCGCGGTGTGCCCCACCACCTGCTCGGCGTCGTCCACGACCCGCTCGCCGATTTCGCCGCCGTCGACTTCTGCCGCCGCGCCTCGCGCGTGACGAAATCCATCATCGCACGCGGCCGCCTCCCCATCGTTGCCGGGGGGTCGAACTCCTTCGTCGAGGCGCTGGTCGACGGCGAAGACGCTGACTTCCGGTCCCAATACGATTTCTGCTTCCTCTGGGTCGACGTGGCGCTTCCGGTTTTGTACGAGTTTATTTCCGACCGGGTCGATCGGATGGTTGACTCCGGTTTGGTAGAAGAGGTTCGGGCAGCGTTCGACCCGAATGATCGGGATTACACGCGCGGGATCCGACGCGCGATCGGCGTGCCTGAATTGGATGAGTACTTTAGATCCGGAGGTCGAAGCGCCGCCCTCCTGGAGGCGGCGGTAGAAAAGATTAAGGAGAACACGTGTCGGCTGGCTTGCCGGCAGTTGAAGAAGATCCAGCGGCTGAACGGGCAGTTGAATTGGAGCATGCATCGGGTGGATGCGACGGATGTCTTTCTCAGGAGAGGAACATCGGGGGCCGACGAGATCTGGGAGGAGCTGGTGGCCGGACCGAGCACCGCAATTGTCGATCGGTTCCTTCACCGGGAGGAAAATTTGGTTTCGAATACGACGGAGGTAGTGGAGGACCACGCGGCGGCGGTTGGAATTCCTCTGCCCGCTATGGCAGCGGCGGCAGGGCTTACCCTGTAGAGGGAGCGAGGGAAAGCGATAAAATGGAAGGAGTAAGATGGAGCCACAGAATCAGGGCAGCATTAAATGCCTGTGCCACGTGGATAGTAATAATAGTGCGCTGGGTTAATTTATTAATTAATTTGCTTGGAGGAAGGGCGGGAGGTAAAATTGGTTGGTGCTCTTAAATAAATAAAACTTAAAAAGTATAGTAAGAAAACACAAATGGAAACGAAAAAACTAACAAAAGTGGAAAATTTGTTTGTTACTTTTGTTATATTCTGTCTAAAGACAAATTATACAATGACAGTGTTGAGATGATATACATGATAATATATACGTGAATTAATTGATGATTGGTGTGTATCATTGTTGATTTGTTGTATATAATAAAGTGATTTGGTGCTCTAAAAATTTTGCACGGACATTCAATGATATACTGAATTTACAGGATTCTATCCTTTTTGTCCCCTTAACCTCTTATATTATACTCTAAAGTATCGGTGATTCTATATATAAATTAAACCTGTATTATAAGGTTAAAGTTAGAAGTTCGATTTGTACCATAAAAGAATTTGTACATTTATATTATTTTAGAATATAAGTGTACCATAAATGAAGTTTACAAAAAAAATATATAGGTAAAAATCGAATTTGTTCTATATATACCATAAAGAAAATTATGTTTAAATCAAAGCGCCGATTAGCAAAAAGAAAAAATAATTACATACACAAAATTTTCTACGAATTTATATATATTTCGAAAAGACAAACATGTATATGATGGACAACTATGAATAGCTTAAACTTACTAGCAAACTTTAAAAAAATACCAACAAGGCAACAACATTACGTCCAAGAATAGAAGATGCTAGACTTATCTATATTAAGAAAGGTTTTATTAGGAAGAATTCATAGTCATTGTTTAGTTTGTATTCCTGGTAGTAATTGTTAACAGTTGTCCATGTTCCAATAGATTTCCCTATCATTGTACATTGTAACTCTTGGGTATAAATACCCCTTCATAATGCAATACAAGCCACGGTTAATACCTTACATGGTATCAGAACAAGTGTTTCCAAACCCTAGCTAATTCTCTCTTGTTTTCGTCTTGCTTTTGTCACTATGGGTGACGAATCTTCAACTACGTCTATTGTTCCCGTCGCCGCTGATCCGCCACAGCTGGTCACGTTCAACCCGGCTGCCTCGCTCCCTCTCAAGCTCACGACGACCAACTTTCCCTTCTGGCATGCACAAATCTTTTCTCTGTTTCATGGACTTGATCTCGTCGGTTACTTAAACGATTCTACTCCGGCACCGGCTCAAACTGTCCTTGTAAACAATGTCTCTCAACGGAACCCGCCTACACTCATTGGTTCCGTCAGGGCAAGCTTCTTCTCAACAACATCTTTGTCTCTATTACGGCTGAAATTTGTCCCTTTATTTCGTCTGCTAAAACATCTCAAGCTGCCTGGACTACTCTTCAAGGTCTATATGCCGGGACTTCATATTCTCAAATCATGACTCTTCATGACCGCCTTCTCGCTGAAAAGATTGGCGATCGTGATGTGGCTACCTATATTCGTGCATCAGAAATTTCTCTTGCTGGTGATGTTATTCGCGATGAAGAATTGGTTTCAATCTGCCTCTACGGTTTGATCCGGAGTAAACTGAGTTTTTCGCTGGTATTAGGGATCGTGATGTCCCTCCCAAACTCGAGGATCTGGTCGATCGTCTCCAAACTCTTGAAGCTGATCTTCGTGGAACTCGTCCTTCTGTTGATTTTCCGGCCACTGTCTTTGCCACTCAGCATGGTCGTGGCCGCGATCATAGTAGTGGTGCAGCTGGCCGCGATGCTGGTAGTGGCCCGTCCTCCTATCCCGGCCTGCTTCCGTCTCCTTCCCCAGCTCCTGCCTCGTCCTAGGATTCTCTCTCGGCTCTCAGCGACATTGACACCTCTTGCGACCGTTCTCGTGTCCTCTGTCAATACTTTGAAAAGCCGGCCCATAGTGCCAAGAACTGTTTTCAACTCTTTCCTCACAAGCGACCACCGCAGTAAAACTACATGTAACATCCTCCTTCGACTACTCCTTCCTCTTCTCACGGTTCATGGCTCATGTATTCTGCTGCTAGTCATCATGTGACCAACAATCATGGCAATTTATCTCTTTACTCTTATTACAATGGTCCTGACGAGATTTATCTTGGTGATGGTTCAGGTTTGCGAGTTACTCTCATATTGGTTCTTCTTCTCTTCCTGCTAATGATCATACTCTCAGCCTGCGCGACGTGCTTTGTGTTCCATCTATTAAGCAACGTTTGATCTCTGTTGCTAAGCTTTGTCGTACTAATCCAATTTCTATTGAATTTTTTGCTGATTAATTCAATGTGAATGATCTAAGAACGGGGGCGTCCCTGCTGAACAGAAGGAACAAAGGTGATATCTTTGAGATTTCGGGTGGCTCTAGAGCTGTACGCGTCGTCTCCTCACTACTCGTCATTCTCCTTATTCATGGCATCATCGTCTAGGTCATCCGTCATCCAAGTCCTTGTTGCGTCTTCTTCATGTGCACTCTCTTCTGCATACTCGTCATTCTATTTCTCATTGTAATTCATGCTTGTCGAACAAAAGTCATAAGCTCCCCTTTGGGGATTCCAGTTTGTCTAGTACTCGACTATTTGATCTTTTATTTTATAATGTTTGGGGTCCAACCCCTGTCTTGATACAATCAAGGTCGCGCAGCCTAAGCAATTTGAACTAAAAGATAGAACCAGGATAGGATGACAATCAATCGGACAGAATTCACTCGTGAAAAGGGCAATCGATAAGAATCGATTGGACAATCTCAACTCGGAATTAAGGGCAATTGATATAGGTAGCTCACCAAAACTAGGGTGTATACCTAGCTGATAAGAGTCGCTCTAACACTCCAGAATCTTCAATAGAGTATTTAGAGCAAAATCCACATAGGGAACAAGCCAAAACTTTCTGAAATTTGATAATAATAGTCTGTCTTCAAACCAACGAGTTCAGCCCCTTTAAATAGTCTCCAAACAATCCTAATCCAACCATAACAAGGACAACATCAAAGTAAACCAACTTAAAACAAAAACAACCCGTTAAGCAGGGAGAAAACCCCGTTAAGCAAAAACAACTCGTTAAGCCTTCTTCTCACATTCTGCCATCTCTTCAAGACTTCCTTCTTCATCCTCCTGGACTTGCAACATCATAAAGGGTTTTGTACTTGAATAACTCCACGTCCATGATTGCAAAGTAGCAACCCAAATATGTTGCAAACTTGTCTCTCATCACCTTTGCCTTAGAAAGTGTGAGTGGCCCTTTGATGCACTCATCATGTCTGTTCCGTTGGTAGTGATTCAAGTTTGAGAGAGGTCACCCAGATATGGTTCACCCTAGATTTCAAATAAGTCAGGTTATAATTCACCAAGTCCAGATTTAATGACAGTTATACTGCGGAAGGTTCTTATCCAGTCTGAAGTCTCGACTAAAGGTCTCCCGACCCTCTTAGAATGAATCCCCGACGGGCGACTAACCTCCACCGGAGTAAACAAACTGAGGCCCTAATGCACAAAACCTCCTCTATTGGAGTAAATCCAGTACAAAGCAGTGAATTGACTCCTCGACTAAAGTAGTCAATTCACCACCTTCAATTAAGGGTGCTCTATCAACCTAGGCATATATTCTCTTTCTAGGTCAAAGTAAGAACTACCAGAATTTGATCAGGATTCAAGCAATTCAGAAAATCATGCCTCAATCGAAAATAATCAATGTTAAAAGATTAAGTACTTGGGTTCATACAACCGAACCGAACCTAACATACAGATCTAGGTTTCTTCATACATAGGTTAGAGAGGTAGTTTACTCCATAGAGAGAAGAGAAATCATATTCAAATGAAGAAATCATCTTGTAGAGGATGAGAATCAGCTTTTGGTTGTCAATCGGCACTTCTCCTGGCTTCAATCGAACTCCAATGGTGTTAAAGCCCAATCTAGGTCACCTTGGAGGTAAGGTTCGTCACTTTCTCTCTCTAAAACTTTGTTTCCAGCTCCAAGACTCAGATTCCTTCTCCAAAACCCGAAATTGGGTTAAAACACAGCTCTCCTCGATTACACAGCCAAACTGCACGGCCGTGTAAAACTTCATCCTGCCTGTGCAATGCCAAAACGCGGCGTTCCATTTAGTTTTCCGCAGACTCTATACGGCCAGCGCACGGTCGTGTAAAATGGCCACGTGCCCGTGCAGATCTCTGGATATTCCACACGGCCAGAGGCGCCTTTGCATGGCCCATGCAACATCTGGTTGCGTAAACCTAGTCACACGGCCACACTGCACGACCGTGTGAAATGAACTCTTGGCCGTGTAAATGCCTCAGCTTCCTGTCGTATGACCTAACTTCGTCCCATCAACCCCGAACTTGTGCCCAAACCTTCATTCATGTACTAGGACCTAAAATATCACTAACAAGAGCAACCTATCGTGAAATCGGTTTAAAACACAGGAAGTGAGCGTCAAACAGTATAAGAATGGTGGGCAAAATGTGTGCAAATATCGAGTCATCAAATCCCCCCACACTTAACTCTTTACTTGTCCCCAAGCAAACCAGACTCAAACCAATGCAACTCTCCATACCTCTACAACACCATGCAACCTCGATCATCGATAGAGGAATTCCTAGATCAATTAGCAACTTACGAGGTCAACCGGTTTTCTAAGACATCCCCTATTTCCCTCAATGCGAGTACTAGACTCACACCAGGATCATGCGAAGCATTGGACCTAGGACAGACAATTCATGGACAAAGAGACTCGCTCACTTAACACACCAACCAAGGACTCTCCATATCGGGTACTCTTTCATTCCATTTCACTTGTTGGAACCCCTTTTCCTTATTATTTGTTTCTTTTTCTTTTGTTTTTCACATTTGCACTTTGCTGGGGTTCCAACTGTAGTTTTTATGCGCGGTCGACCCTTATTTGGTGAGCAAGAGCAATTTCTGT